GGCAAATGGATGTATAAACTGCTTTTCTTAATGGAAACATTAAGGAAGACATTTATTTGAAACAGCCGCAGGGTTTCATATCCAGTGGGAGCGAACAAATGGTTTGTAAGCTTCAAAGGTCCATTTATGGACTTAAACAAGCTTCAAGGAGTTAGAACATTCGGTTTGATGAAACGATCAAAACGTTTGATTTTCATCAGAATCCGGATGAACCATGTGTTTATAAGAAGGTTAGTGGGAATGCAGTTGCATTTGTTGTTCTATATGTTGATGATATCCTACTCATTGGGAATGATATAGGAATGTTACAATCAACACGGACATGGTTGTCTAAACAGTTCTCCATGAAAGATTTGGGAGAAGCCTATAAAAATCTATAGAGATAGATTTAAAAGGATGATCGGACTATCCCAGTCTATGTACATAAATAAGGTACTAAAAAGGTTTAGTATGGAAGAATCCAAACGTGGATATATTCCAATGAGTCATGGGGCTTCACTTTCTAAAACGATGTCTCCAAAGACACCTGAAGAAAGAGAACGGATGAGTCATATACCTTATGCATCAGCTATTGGTAGCATTATGTATGCAATGTTATGTACAAGACCTGATGTGGCTCATGCACTTAGTATAACGAGCAGATATCAGACTAATCCAGGTGAAGAACACTGGAAAGCCGTTAAGATGATTCTTAAGTACTTACGAAGGACTAAGGATATCTTTATGGTATATGACAATGGAGAATTGAAACTAGAAGGCTTTACTGATTCTGGTTTTCAGTCCGATAAAGACGACTATAAATCCATGTCTGGATACTTATTCACTCTGAATGGAGCAGCAGTTAGTTGGAAAAGTTCCAAACAAGAAACGATTGCTGACTCTACAACAGAGGCTGAATATATTGCTGCATCTGATGCTGCAAATGAAGCTGTTTGGATAAGGAAATTTATCCAAGGGTTGGGTGTAGTACCATCTGTTGTTGATCCAATAACGATTTATTGTGA